GAATGGGGCGCGAGGGGAAGCCTGGACGCTGGGGCTCGGCCTGTCCCCCAGGCCGCAACGAGCTCCCACCCGACACAGCAGCGGGCACTTGGCCCCCACGGTGCCGTCCAAAACTGCGCTGGGGGGCCAGCAGGTGGCACCGGATTGGCGACTCTGACCCAGTGACCTGAAAATTAGCCTGGAAAAGATTGTGGTGTGGCCATGCCCCCTGGGGCGGGGGGTGGTGACTTCTCACTTGCCCTCTGGCAAACACACCTGCCCTAGAGAAAAGCAGAACAGCAATGCGCTGGCCGGCACTGCAAGGCAGAGCTTAGCTGTTTATTGGACTCATCCCAGTCAGAAACCCCAGGAGCTGGCAACCTTTCAAAGCCCCACTGCCTCACCAGTGGTTGCCTGGGGCGTGGCGTGGGGTGCTGTGGTGGCAGGAGCTGTGGTCAGTGCACTAGCGCCCACCGGTGGAGGGCGTGGGCATCACAGACATCCCTGGGCCCGACACTGCCCTATAATGGAGATGCAGCCTCAGGGACTGCTGAAGGGAACATAGGACCTCCTCGGGCTTTCTCTGCAGCTCCACATGAAGGTGTAATCTGAAAACTGCTTACAGTGAGACATTCTGAGAATTTACCCAACAGCACTGGTGCAGACAGGAGGTCTGGGTGGTGGAAGCTGCTACCCTGGCGCCTGCCCAGTCCTGCCATGGCCCTTGGAGTACACAGCTTGCAGCCAGCACCCAGGCGGACCCTGGTGGAAGCACAGGCTGGTCTCATGTTGGGGAACCCGACGCCCACAGTGGCATACAGGCCTGGGCCTGCCCTTGTGCTCACATCTAGACATGCTGACTGAACCACTGCACACTGCTCCAGGATGCACTTCACCTGAGCCCCCTTCCCCGTAGCACCCCTCGGAGAAACCCACAGGGCAGGGTAAAGCACCTCCCTTTGGGGGCCTCACCCCCCACCGGAGAGACAGGTGCTTCTGTGGAGGGGGGGGGCCTGTGCTCCAGGGGAGGAGAGAGTCAGGGGTCTCCCCAGCTTCACCCGGAGTGCAGGGGGTCTCAGGGACCCAACAGGGTGGCTGTGTCCCATCTCAGGGTGCGGGGGACAAGCCTAAGCACCGAGATCTTCCAAGAGCTCTAGTCTTCACCGGGAAGCACTCGGGCCACGCAGCCTCGGCGGCCATGGAGGTAGACAGAGAAGGCAGAGGTGGCTCCCGTGGGGCCGGGCGTCTCTCGCAGAGCTGGCAAGCTGGCCTGGGCCCACCTGGCTGTGCCCACCCCAGCCTCATCCAGTTATGGCTCAGCTACCCAAGAGGAAAAGGCAGCCGTGAGAGCACGGAGCCGCCCACCCACCCGTGCCCTCATGTGACCCGCAGCACAGGGCCTCATCCTGGGTGGGGAGCACCATGGACCCAGAGGCCCATCTCTGTCCCCATTCTTGAGGCCCCCTCCTGGCTGAGCCCAGCTGAAGAAGCCCACAGGGGGACAAGGCTGTCTCTCGTGCATGGGCTGACGGGAGAAGTCACATCCTCCAGACTGAAGTGTCAGGTGTCCTAGGACGCAGGGCTGGCAGGTCTGGGGGCAGTCAGGACTCCTGTGGCTGCAGAACTCTGGCCAGGTCCTCATTTAGGACAAGGGGGGACTGGAACCCCCGGCCTTGCAGGTACACTTCCAAGCCCTGGGAATAAGTGTCATGAGGCTGAGTGTCCACCAATCAGCTGCCCGCAGCCCCCCCAAGTTCTGCCTGGGGTCAGAGTGGCAAGGACCCATACACATGCCAGGGCTGCCCAAGATGCCACTGGACTCCTGGCCAGCCCCAGGCAGAGGACCAGAAGGCCTCCATCGCCGAAGTCTCCACAAAGGCCTGACTTCAGACTCAGACCAGCCCCCACTAGCCCCCCAGGACGCTGCCCACCCCTGTTCCCCTCCCAGGACCTGTCAAGGCCTCTGGACACCTATTCCAACTCCACCCTGCAGGCCAGCGGAGGCAGGGCTGTGTCTCCGGCCAGGTACCAGCATGCTCCCTGACTGCTTCCCTGACCGCCACAAGCCTCACACGCAGGGCCCGGCCAGGGACGGCGGCTCTCACCTCTCCAGAGTAAGACACCAAGGGTGACACCTCACAGACAGCTGGAGGGTCCTCATCCGGGGACAAGCTGGGGAAGACTACAGTCAGCACCTGCCCCCGCAGGATGGCCACCCCGGCTCCCCACACTGCTTGTGCCCAGGTCTTGCTTCCCCACGTGAGGGTCGGGCTGCTGCCGTACCCCACATGCCAGCCCGGTCCCAGCTTCAGGGACAAGTGGTGAGGGCTGGCCGCTGCCTGCCGGGTGCCCTGAGCACGACTGAGACTGAGACTGAGGCAGGCCCTGCCCCTCTGGCTAGCAGCAGGCCACACTCACCCAGGGGGTTCAGGGAGCCAGGCCCCCTCCTCATCCAGGAAGTGGGCCCCGGCCTGCAGGGCCCACCGGTAGTGCTGAGTGAGCAGGGCGCGCCGTGCCGTGGTGGGGGTGTCCCTGTCGGCAGTGTCGGCGTTCTTCAACGGGGAGAACTCGTCTTCCCGCAGCACCTCAAAGGCCACGAAGTTCCTGGTAGGGAAATGGCAGGTGACCCGATTCTAGCCCAGAGGCCTGG